ATATATCTGTTGAATAAACATCTTAATAATGAAAATTTTATTAGAAAATGTCCAAAGTCTCTTTATTTTAAAATAATAAAAATTAGCTGTTTTTTTATATAAATAAATAAATAAATAATTAATTTATTAAGAAGAATTATTTGATATGATTCAATTTTATTCCTGTTCTTTGATGAAACATCGAGAAACATCGGGAATTTTGTCTGATAAAACATGCTTGCTTTATAAAAATATAGTAGGTATAACACGCATACACACACACACACACACACACACACACACACATACACAGCGTATGAAGCATAGTTGGAATATGATATTTCAGGTAAATGTTAGCCGCGTCGTAATTAACTTGTGGAAACAGACCAGCGCATTACACAAATTACGATGTCTCTTTTTGCAATGCAGCATAAAAAAACATGTATTACATGCGATGCTAAAAAACCATGAGTCTCGAATGAACTCGAATCAAGCAAAAAAAAAATATATCGCATATAATATGTTTGAATCAATAACGAATGTTTTATAAATTATATTCGTATTGAATGTCCAGTTGTTAATGCAATCCGATTAACCAAAATAAATAATATCGAAACAAATATTACATAAGAAATCAGATATTCTTAAATATTTCATTATTAAATACTATATAAAAATGGTCATTATCATGCTTTTTCAAATTTCCCATTTTGATATAAACTTTTTTGATTATTTATTTTATTAATCATATTTCTTTATAAAACAGTTTATTTGTAAAAAGAAGAGTGACGTATATTTTTTGAAAACATCTTCAGCATTAATTAATTATTATGTGCAAATAGTTTATTTATATTCATTAATTTAATTTAATTTAAAGAAGTGTGTGTGTGTGTGTGTGTGTGTGTGTTTGTGCGCGTGTGTGCGTGTGAGAAAAAGGCAAAAAAGAGAAAAGTTTAGTAAAACTAACATTCTTTGAGTTTTTAGGTGATTGTGTTTAACCCTACTGATTATCCAGATATGACCAGTGGTGGTGTCACGGAAGTACTCGCAGTACCTCTTTCCGAAACCTTTCTGGATGTAATTGGAACAATCTTTATTAGTAATCCAGGAATCAAGAATTTCCCCAAGCATAAACGTAACTGCATTTTCCCAGATGAGGGAAAGTTATTGTCTAAAATTATGATATATACTTACAGTGATTGTATTGTCGATTGTAAGATTAATTTCATACAGAAGTCCTGTGGATGCAGACCATTCTTTTACCCACGTCACGGCATAAAAGATTGTTAGTAAAAACATATTAATTTTTCTAACTATTTATACTGGTTTTTAAAAAAATTCTTGGGCTTACTATAAACATGCAAAATTTAAAATTTGATGCACTTAACGCTTACGTATATTGTTATTTGCAGCTTGCGAATATGTATTTATTAATGATGAATTTGCATTTAATTAAAACGATAAATTGATATAATATATGTTTTTACTTTGATCGTTTAATTTTTCAATATTTATCTGCAAAATTGTGAAATCTATTAATTTTAAAAATTGCTTATTGTATTTGATTTATAAAATTAAATAGAATATAAAATACTTGGCAGTTGCAACTTATACGAGAGCTCTTTTTTAAAAATAAATTTTTTTTTTACTGTATTCATTTGCACGTTAAGGCAGTATTTGTTAAGAATTTCTGTTGCATGATATAATTTTAAAAGAAGAATCGTTAAATAATAATGGTAGACGGATATTAAATCTTACAGCGACTATGATTTCATAATAAGAAGTTTTTAATTCGTCGAGATTCCAAATTACATTTCATCATTTTGTGAAAGCTTTAACTGGCTTATAATTCTATTCAGCTTTGTAAATTAAAAATTTAATCGCGCTTGCTATTGCTTTCTTTTCTAAAGCTTAAATTATAATTTGCAAATAAAGTTAGCAATTTGAAAAATGTATGTTATCAAGTATTTTACTCAAATAAGTAAAAATAGCTATTTTAGTTACGAAAAAGTATAAGAATTTTTAGAAATTCTTATAAATAACTGAGGGTTTTCTGTCCATGAATTTTTAAAATTTTTTTATATTAAAATATAAAAATATAAAAATATAATGTGTCAAATTTTACAAACAACTAAAAATTTAAAAATTCTCACATATATTAAGCATGATGAGGAATCCGTAGTTAAATGAAAGAATATTAAATCTGAAGCAGTTTATATATTTATTACTCTTCAGTGTGTCTCATTTATGTGTGGCTTGAGAGATTTATTAAGCTTACCTAATGGCGCTTTAAAGTCAAGTGACAGGATATAATGATCGTTATAATAATAATGTTTTATTTATTTATAATGTTTTTATTTATAATGTTTTATAATGAAAATTTATTTATAATGTTTTATTTATTTATTATACGATAAGATCATTTTGTATGATTAAAAGTCTCGATAAAATTGATATTAACTTCATTGATCTTGACGAATCATATATACGAGCAACAAACGAATTTCAATGTTAATAGAACGAGCAGTAACATTGAACTTGTAAATTCTACACTCACAACGCAAACTACTTTCATTGGTGTTTCTTTACAGTGCATCACAGTCTACCGAGGCTAACGATTCGATATATTAATATTTATAATATTTATAATATTGCTAGCAATCTTATATACAATAGGAACAAATAGTGTTGCTTTCTTTTCGATTTTATTTTTTTCTTAAATTCTCCTTATACAATTTAACCCTTCTATTTATCTTCTTTTGTTAGTAGAAAAATACGATTTACATATTTTAGAAAATATGAAAATAATATAAAGGATAACATATTATTCAATTGTTATTATTTATTCTGTTAATAGAATACGCTGTGATAAAACTATATTATAAATAATCATAAAAATCTATATAGACATTACAGAGAGTTTTTGTTTAACAAAAGTTTTTTAATAGAAAAGATTTAGTTTAAGTTAGGTAAGTTAAATGTTAGATAAAAAATATTTAATAAGTATTAGTTTCTGTAGTATTACATCTTTTTCATAATTAACGTTATAATAATATTATTATTATGTTTATTATATTTTTAATAGTGTTTTTAGATATATAAAGTACATATAAATACAAAAATTAATCAAAATTTCTAAAAGTCTTAAATAATAATGTAATAATTATTTTTATTTTAGTAAAAAAAATAGATAATTAATAAAAGAAAAGAAATCAATTTGAACGAATAGTCAAGTACGATAACAACATAGACAATGTATCTTCCGAAGCCAATAAGATTTCCATCAATTTCTCACATCGTTCTCACATCTCATTCACGCTTCGATTTTTCTACTTTTGTCGCGAAAGTTGAGATAAAACAAAAATGGATTAATATTAAATAAGAAAGCACAATAAAAATAGTTATTGAAAATATAATAATTAAAAATAAAGTTTAAATCTAGTTCTATTAATTTACAAATTGATTGAAATACAAAATATAATCATTATTTTAATAATTTTAAAATAGAATTAAAAAATGTAATGGCAGATTAAAAATAAAAGTGCATAATTACGTATAATTCTTATTGAGATATTAATAGAATGATTGCGATAATTAAAAGAAACGTATAAATCAAGATAAACGTGACTAATTTTATTAAATAAAATTTTATTACTTAAGACTATAGATAAGATTTAAATAGACTATACAGTAAGGATCGTATCTTATTGGATAAATCGGGTTTCTCCAGACTGGTGAACTCTCTTATATCCCGGCGATTTCTTTCTTCTATCACGAAGTCGAGAGGCGTGGGCGGCAATCTGTAAAGGAACGTTGCGCGGCGCATTGCGAGGCGTACGCGTTCGCGAGCTTTCTAACGAGGCTTTACCACGGGTGGCTTAAAGCATTAAAGCGGATCGCGTGAAGCATCGCTCTGTAGGATTAACTTACTGTGGCCGGGGTTCTAGCAAAGAAGAGGAACTCGCTGAAAGCGGCGCCGCGCCGCATGCAACACCGAGTACTCCTCTCTCTCTGTTCTTTCGTTTTAAAGCCGTCCCGATTGCTCTTTTTCTCGCGCTCTATCGATAGCACAGGGCGTGCTTGGAGTCGTTTTTCTCGCGGCTGCCTTCTCCGTTCTCCATATTAATCAACAACACGTGCAACGACGATCGCGCTACTCTGCTCGACGTATTCTCCATCTTTCCTCATACATACTACTCAAAATATGAACATTTTTTGCAAATTCTTATTTTTATATTTTTATTAAAAAATTAAAAATAGATTTTGTAATATTAACGTAATTTTATCTGGTATGACATTATCCAGTATGATAAAGTTTTTTGTTAATTGTTTACAAGAAATAAAGACATCCTTGGCAATATTGAATAACATAAGCAATCAATTTTTTAATTTTTATTTGAAAATTATTTGTTTGAATATAGTTCTGAAATTGGAATAGTAATATTACAGATTAAATTGACAAATAATTTAATGTTGACGATGCTAATATACATGTTTACAATCCTGTAAATAATTTATTGCAAAAAATCTTACCTCAGCCGCAATTCGAACCAATATTTCTCGAATTCTGTGTCCTTTTAATTCGAGACATGTGATAATATTTATCGCAATAACTAGAAAAACAAATTAAGAAATTTTTTTATAACGTAATATGATTATAATATATGCTGTATAATACATATATATTTAAAAATAGAAAAGTTACAATAAAATAGCAATTTAATTAAGTTGTGAGAATTATCTGGATTTCTTAAAATTTATTTTACAAGAAAAGAACTTTACTTATACAAATTTTATTCTTTTTTACAGATTGATTTTATAAACACTTTCTATTTATGTTTATTATGTTTTATGTGTAATATATATATGTATGTATATTTTGTTATATATTTCAGATTCATGGCGTATTTGTAATAGCTTGGACTTTGAATGCCTAGCTAAGCATAAATGTAAACATTATTACATTATTAATCTAAAACAATTATGTTTTTACGTAAATAATTTGTAAAGTTTATTTACATTATTTAAAACTCATTATTTAAATAAATTAATAATTATGATTACTTTATTTATACTCGATATATTGATTTTTATTTCCTTTATAAAATAGCCGGTTGGTTAACGATTCTCCCTCACGAGGAAGAACACACCAATTTTGAAAAAGAAGAAAAGGCTTTACATTGTTACAATTGTTATGCTGCCTGTGAAGATATTAGTTACGATGTATTAAGTTGGACGACTGATATGGCTCCTGGTGAATTCAATACTAACTTATTGTAAGTATATTTACATTTTTGTCAGTATAAAATGTAAAATTATTTTTGAAGATTCCTAGAAAAAAGTCCTAAAACTTTTTTATTGCTTAATTTTAGACAGGATCACAATATTACTAATGAAGGAATAGTACATGTATACTTTTCAAAGTACGGCACTATCAGATTGAAACAAGACATATCTTTTTATTGGTATGATCTCGTAAGTAAGTATAGATTGTTAAGGAATTATACTTATAAATGAGAGATTAAATTTAAATTCTTTAAAAATCAAAGTCTTAAACGGTTTAGTTGGATCTTAAATGCTTGTATGATTCTTGTGTGAATTTATATACTACGTATGTAGTTCTTAGAAACGTGCGCCGAAATAATTTTTCGGTCTTGAAACGCTAATTCTACTAAACTATCGTAATTTACAGATTTTAATATGTCATTCAACATTATTAAGATCGTTTCAAAGATGCGAATAAGCATCAAAAATTTGTTAAATTGCTAGTCAATTTAATTCGTGATATTACTGCGGTAGTTTACAAGAATTACATACGTAGTATATAAATTCACACAAGAATTATACAAGCATTTAAGAGATCCAGCTAGACCGTTTAAGGATTTGATTTCTATAGTTTGTGTTATCATATGTACAGTCCTATAATATATTATATTGTTAAATTCTTTAATCCCAACTTTTATATCTTTTTATCGGATTAAAGCTGTTTAAAAAGCCTAAGTAAACGTAATTTGTTTTGAATATAGGATCAATTATAGAAACAAGATTCTGTTATTTAATACTTCTTTAACAAATCTTGTAATTATTTTACTTAGTAAAAAATGTTTTTTCCAATAATCAAATTTAAAACTATAAAAATAATTTTGTAGAAAACGAAAATTGATAAGTAGAGAGAGGATGTGTAAAAGACACAAACGGTTCTGCTTAATCTGTCATTGAACTTATTATAATTAGTGAAAATATAATACAATTAGTGCCAAGACATTATCACTTTTCCTGATATGATATCACTACGTTCCATATCACATCTATATAATTAGATTTTTGAAGAAGTGAACTACTCCCGGTTTGCGATGTTTCCACCTTTAACATTTTTAATTAGTTGCACATTGCGGAAAGAAGTAAATTATGAAGAACTTTGCATGTGGTATGAAAACTGACGATGAGCAAATCTTTTCACAGTTGATACAAAACATATGAAAAAGATATCATATGATCAAAGCTAGAGTAGTGTGGAAGAGAAATTTTCTGTCCGCGTTCTTCTGTAGGATGCCTGAGGGTTTTCAAAAATGGAATTTTAATATCCGACTGTGTATCACGTTTCTCCACTCTAGTCTGGTACTCGTGTAAAAAAAAAAGATAATACTTCTCACATAGCGCAATTTCTAGTTGCCGGTGCTTACTTTGTAAATAAATTGCTGAAAAGAGGAATATTTTCTGAGAAACATGGGAAAGTTTATTCGACATTCGACTTTTCATAATTCCAAAAATTTAAGAAGACAATTTTTAATATATAATTAATACTCATTAGGGAAAAAATAAATATTTTAAATTTGATTATATAGATTATATAATATGTGCATGCATATTTATATTGATAAAATAAAATGATAAAGGTTTTATATAAAATAAATCTATTTAAAAATTTTAGACATTTTATTTATGTTAATTTGAAATTTGAACATAATTTTCTATATTATTTTCTATATTATATATTTTCTTATTTTGTATATACTTTTTTGTTTTGTATATTTATTATTTGTACATAACTACAAAAATCAGAAAAAACGATAATATACTTCAAATATGAAAGCAGATATGCACTTTTTTCAACACTAATTTAAATACAGTCATAAATTCTACATCTATAGAACATCTATCTAAATCTACCCAAGAGTTATTTTTTTACATTAACTACTAATGGAAAGCAATAATTCTATATTAATAAAAGACGGAACTTATTAAGTTTATGTACGCTCCTGGCTAAAAGTTTGAAACACTTTTTAAAAATTGATTTTAGAGATTGTTCAAATATCTATAAAATAATGTGTTTTTAATAATATAATAATAATTCCTTAGGTCCAATAAGTATTATTGATTCTAAAGAATTATTATATATATTTAAATAATTAATCCCAAAAATGTCAATTTTTAAAAAATGTTTCCAAAATTTTGGTTTGGAATGTATATATGTGTGTGTTTGTGTATGTACTTATAAATTAAGAAAAAAGCAATTACGTATCCGATTTATAAAGCATTGATTAAAGGGTAGTAAAGCCTGTGTAAAGAAAGAAAAGTGACGGTGATATTGATGGAAAAACTCCCTCTCTTTTAAAACGTAAATCGCCACTACGTGCGCGTAATGCTTTTTTTAAAGAATGAACACTGAAAACATGCGGCAGTTTCATCAAATCATTTTATCTTCCCTTGCTATCAAAACGTCGTATCATAAAGATGATCGTTTTGCAGGTGATATCGGCGGTATATGTGGTGTCTTCATTGGCTTTAGTTTCATCACTATAGTGGAGCTTCTGTACTTTTTTGTGCTCATGTTTAGAGATTTGTTCTGTAAAAAATCGGCGTTGCAGAAAGATGATCGCAAGACTGAAATCCCATCAGATCGAACTCAAACCACAGGGACAATATATTGGAACGAATTGCAACCGCGATCCTTTCATTCGGCGAAATACGGCAAATTCTTTGCTAACAGAGTCAGATATTGACTGACGGAGTTATTATGGAATCATTCAGGAAGATTTTCGATTGGAATAATTCCATTTTCCTCAGTTAATATTTGAAATTATTAAGAAGTATCGGATCTATCTATCTACCTATCTATCTATCTATCTATCTATCTATCTATTTATCTATTATATCTACATCTTACGAGCAAACGAAAGGACGATTCAGAACAAGATTTAGACATAAAAATAATTGGAGAAAATTGTCACTGTTTATTTTATTACGTATCAATGATAAACCGATTTAGAAAAAGATTTATTATTACCTAAAAATGAAATCATAATAAAAAGTTCGTTAGTTGAATATTTACTTTTTCTATTGAAAAATAATTCTATAATAGCTTTAATTATAACCGGTTTAATATACTATATTAATTTTTGTGAAATTATATATTGTCGTATTAATTTAGCATTAATTCTATTTTATTATCGTAAAAAATTGTTACAAAAAGCAACAAGTAGTTTTTATTATATTATCATAAATTAATCACTATTTTGGTTTTAAGCTCTTTATAAAAGTAGATTGATTTTACATATCTTAGATAAGTTTACATATTATCCTAAAAAGTCCCATAATACAACCTGTGTAAAATTTTGGTTGTATTTCTGCATAATTAATATGCACGTGGAATTATCGAAAATCCATTAAAAGGTTCTTAAGCTTGATGCAAAATTTTAAGCCAGGTTTTATGTATAATGGTGCATTATAAACGCGAATTTTAACACTTTGTGAATATAACATCGATTTTTACTTTACGAAATTAAGATAGATTATTATTATTTACAACTTATTTTACACGTGTGATTTTGGTAATCCAAGTATTATATATAACGTTTAGTTTCACTATACATTTAGGTTCACTAGAACCATTGAGATAATTAATTACAAAAATTGATGCAATTATTATGCCTATCTTGAGAAAAACATTTGTGTGCTGCAACTTTAAGCCGAAGGCTGTTTCATAAAGATGATATTGCTGGATAATAAGACATTATTAATGAGGGAAGTGATAAATAATGAGACTGCAATTGTTTACGAAAGAGATACGAAGCGGTTATAATACCTTTTCTGTAAGAGCATGAATAGAACGTGATAGAAACATGAAGCTGCATGGGAATTGTTATCTGGTCCAATGATACTTGCCAGAGACATATAATTAATTTCTCAGCGTAATTATGTTTTTAACACAAATATTCAAGTGTACTTATGTGTATTCAAAATAAAAGTTTATCTAATAGCGCCATGTTTGTAGAATCAACTTTGATCTGTTTATTAAAATGACTTTACTGCGATACATATATTACAAGCGAATTTCGATTGACTTTACGAAAATTTAACTAAACCTTGCAATCAATATTAGCAATTCGATATTACAGTAAATAGATATGACTGTTTGCAATCGCAGATGTTGCTTGTCAGTACTGGCTACGCATGTAATTTCATAAGCATACATAAGGTCTGTTTTATACGTATTTAAATACTTTGTCATTACATTGCCCACAATCATATATACGTAATATTGAGATTTAAATTAAATATATATTTAATTTAAATATAAATTATAAAGAGGAAATTTTATTCAGAGAAAGCATTCAGAATAATACCAAAGCATTCAGAATAAATTTTATAACAAATTTCTTTGATTGTAAATATGATATGTGCAGCTAAAATTCGAAAAAATAAGTAAGAAGTGATTAAAAAATTTATTTGGTTTTTGTGAAAAATCTTTTAATTGCAAATAATCAAAAACTTAATTCTTATGTAAAGTTAATTTTTATTTATATCAAAAGGTATGCTTATATAGATACAGTTTTGAAAAATAAAAGGATATAGAAAAACGTAACATTCAATTTAATATTTCAACAAAAGAAAAACTCGATTAAAGAATCTTTGTGCGAACTTTGTCGATGTAAGTAATTCCGGATCAGCCTGTAGAAGTCGCCCGAACGGCTTGTTATGTGCCAGTTGTGCCACAAACTTTCGTGAGACAGGTCAGGACGGTCTTTGGAGAAGAACAGGGTTGAGACAGGCAAACATTATTAACGGGACAATTATAAGTATTAAATATTTTGCGGTGCAAAACGTATCGATATATCCGAGAAGAGTACCAAACAATGATGATCAGAAGCGCAAGGGTAACGGAGGAAGAAAAATATGGCTATCATGGTTTCAGTACCGTAATAATCTTCCCTTGTATCGCCATCGACTATATGTATCCGGTTCTGTCAAACCGCACAAGGAGTCAGATTCCACATAGAGGAAGATTTATTAACGAAAGCGCTATACCGCGGAACGCTGATAAATTATCGATAAAAAAGGAGCAACACGCCTTGACTCCGATGCCTTCCTGACAACCCTTTCATTCTTCTCTGGCCTCTATTATATTATGTGTTCTCTATTTTAGAATGATGTATGCGACTTGGTATGAAATATATTCAACCAATATTTTGACATGAAATATAATAAGTGTCATGTTTTCATTGTTATCTCATAACATCAAATATTATGCAAAATTAATATACTTTATTAGCATAGGCAATTCAATTAGTATAATATTATTGAAAGTGCTTTATTATTAGCTTTATGTATCTTTCTCTTTATAATACCGAGATCCATATATATCACAATAATAAATCTTATCTTAACTATTCTTATCTCATATGCAAATATTAAAACTTTATCTTTCAACAATTTTTCTTAATTTTAAATAAAGAAATTTTTTATATGGCTTTAAAAATGAAAAGTTAACAATAACGATCAAGCATATAAAGTAATCTTCTGTAATGCATAGCGGAAGTCATATAACATGCCCATACATATAAAACAAAATGTATGGCATTTTTAAATTTCGTACCAGATTAAAAATTTTGCGCGATTTGTTTCTATAAAAATTAAATTCAGTAGTATATCATAAAAATTTCACTTTGCAGAACAATATTTTACAATAAAATAAACGTATTTGTTTTTAAAATAATAAAACGATTTTTATAAAATATTTGCAGAGGAAGAAAAAAATGGACAAATAAGAAAAGTTTATTTTTTATTTAGAACAAGTTCAACATATACTTAAAAAAAAATCTCCTTGTTATTAACTTTCTAAAATGTATGTATTCTCTCTACATAAGATACATAAGAAAACATTCTTTAATAAAAACAAATTTTCTTTTTTTCTTTCCTAATAAACATTGTTTAACTTGTATAATTTAACTGATTATGCAATCTCTTAAACATTTTTATTATTTTAGAGATGCTTTATTCTTAATGTTAAACAAGAAGAATATGTACTATAATATATACATACATTTATGTATTTAAAAATTTACTTGCAAATAGTTAATTTTAAAGCTTAAATTAACTATTCAAATAAAGTTTAAATAAATAATTATTGGATATGTTTATCCAGAAAATCAACATCAACTTTTAATAGAAATTTATTAATAGTATTCAGTTTGCGTAAGACATTGAAAAAAATGATTTTTTTCAACCTTCCCCCTTTTATAATATTTTTTCTTTCTATAATATGTATCGTATATGTGTTTGTGAAAAGCTCAGTATTTTTTTCTGAAAATTTAGAATGTTTTAAAATTTATTTTTTTTTTTAATTTATAATACTAAGTAATCTGCTTACCCTATTGATCACCAGTTTCAAGCTTGTTAACTTGAATGCATCATTGCTCGCCTTTAGATCTTGCATTTATGCTATTTGCTACCTGAATGTCGTAAAGTGGAGTCTCACAATAGTCTTGACCAATGCAATTCGAACTTCCTCGCTTTGGGCACGTCGAGCAAATATCCATTCTGGCAAACAAAGCGGTACACGTTGTATACGTAACTAGAGATAACGATCTTGTATAGATATTCAGACAGGAGAGAATGCTTGATGTGGTTCTCATCCAAATGATGATACTTCTTTACGATGAAAACAATGTTAAAGATATCTACATGATATAAATATAATTTCTAATAAGAAATTTTGTGTTAATTACTGCAATAATATATTAGTTTTCTAGCTACGTTTTTCTTTAAATAATCATTTTTTACATTTTTTATATATTTTGTATTTTAAGATTTTTTAATTACATTTTTGCACAAAAAAGTTTAGGTTTTGCTAAAATATCTAAAAATTTAGATTAATATAAATTTGAAAATAATTTTGTTGGACTATCAAAATAATTATGTATTGCTAGAATGTCAAAACTTTTTGCAGAATTGCTTATCATACTTGAGTTTTCTGCAAAATTATTAGTTTAACAAAACTATTTATAAACCTATATCTACCTAAGTTTTAGATATTCCATAATCGTTCTTTTCATATGTAGACAAATGCTATTAATATTATTATTCATTGTTAATTGTAATTGACTAATGTATTTATCATATTTGATAAAATGCAATTTTAATAGATTAATAACAATTATTTTCTTTAATATTAATTTAGTTAATTTTGAATTATTCAAACTGTCCGTATATACATATGTATCCGCGTAATTAAACACAAATATATGTATATATTTCTTTCTCCTTGCGAAATATAAATAATAATTTAATTATAAGTAAAAAGAGTCAACTTTGATATATTGTCATTGATAAATATCATTTTCATCGATATTGATAATTTTGATTAATTTTGATATGAGTATGTACATCTCTAATGCCAATAATATGCATCCCATTTCTCGCTCCTGTTAATTTTGCGTCCGAAGATATGCGAACATAATGCGAATAGACTCCGTGCATCGTGTGGAGTACCTATAGTCGGTGGCCTGTGTCTGGCGGAAACCAAAGGGACGTGAAATACGAGGGATGTGCGTGCATGTTACTGCACCTGCGTATCGCACAAATTATTGCAACAGTATTGTCGTACAGCGATTAAACTTTAGGACAAAATGCCAACCGCGCGCGCACCGTTCATCAATTTTTGCAAGAAATTTACAAAAATCAAACATTTTCTCTGAACTTTCTTTTTTCCAACTGGATTTAATATCAAAAATAGATAAAAAATGCAAAATAGAAAACGTGTAAGTTTTTAAATACATATTAAATATACATATAGTAGTTTTTTGAATAATTTTATCTATTAGTTTTTTTTTCATCTATTAGTTTCCCTTTATTAGTGTTCTTTTAATAACTTTTTTAAGTTTGTTATATGTTGTAAAATAATATTAATC